ATCATGGTTAATATGAACACTATATTAGTGTGGAGATAAGTCTCTTGGTGTTAAGATATTGACACACGTAGTGTAGTTTCAACACTAACTTGGTGTAAATGAGGGGGAGGGAAAACACTAATGGTGTTAACGGTGAACACTTACAGTGTTGTTTTTACTCTATGCAAGTGTAAAAAAAGTAACACTATTTAAAGTGTTAGTTTAACTCTATTTAGTGTGGACCTATATAAACCCCGAAAAAGTGTTAATTTTCTCACTGTGAGTGTCAATTTAACACTTTCAAATTTGCTGTGTGTACTATTCGTGTGTGTGTGTGCGCACATTATAAGTATAGTGTGCTGCCAGTTGGTGGTGTGTTCCTCTCTGTGAAGGCTAGGGTTGCCAGATCAGGATTACAGATGGATAAAAGGAGCTCTTATTTAATCCACCCCAGAGAGGGGCACAGCTGGTGGAAAACAGGATAGAGAGAAAGAAAAAAAGGACAGAGAAAAGAGAAGAGGAGACTTTCACATTGACTTTGCTGTGAGATTTGTTTCATTCAAAAACTTCAAAAGTTCAAAAGAGGACTGTTGATCTAGACTAGGGATGTGAAAACAGACCAGATCAGGGTTGCCTGAATGACTAGTAGACTCAGTCTTAACTGGAAGCCCTGTATTATTAGGCTGGTTTCAGGTTCGCCTGACTCAACTAGATATGTTTCTTTGGTAACGCTTACAAAAGACTCAGTCTGGCATTCAAATTCAAATTCAACAACAAGAAACAGAGAAAATAATGTAGCTAAACTAGTCCACTTCAATGAGCGTCATGACTGATCCCAAATAGGCTTTCTGATTTCTTGGATTCTAAGGAAATGAAACCTATTTCTAAATTTCTGTATCTCATCACAGGACATTGTGCCATAGTCCATAGATTTCTTTTTTTTTCTGTCTCTCACACATCTTTTATTTTCCCATTGTCTTTCTTTGTCCTAACCTGTTTGGTTGGGAAGAGAAACATGTTTTACAAGCAATCTGAGAAAGCGTCTGTAAAACCATCAGGGTGCCATGCTACCTGAAGCTCACTGGATAAATATGCTATCTAGATTAGATAAGAGCAGGAAAGACTGAAAACACAGCTCTGGCAACGTCCAAATAAGAGTGGCAGCCCTCCAAGCTTCACCCAATGCCAAATCACCTCAAAGGCATCTGACAGGCACAAAGCAGCAAATAAATCAGCAGGAATCAGGATCATTATCCCATGACATATTGGAGAAAGATGCCCTGCATAACGCACAACAGGTTGCCCAGCCTTTTAGGGCAGGTTAGGGGAGGTCAGACAAAGGTTTGTAATCTATTCACTTCCATTCATACGCATAAAAAGCAGGTATGCAAGCATATGCATCTTTTACTGCATATAAATTTACATATAAAGCATATAAAGATTTACCACCTGGCTGAGACTCAAAAATAGAGGAAACTCATTTTGGTGGTTTCAAATAAAAAGTA